TATTTCGTATAGGTCTGATTTCCAAGGTTTAGATTTAGTTACTTTTTTATTTTAAGTTGTTGTAATTGTTAAAAAGCTTTAAATACCAATTTTTCCATTTTGTTTTAATACTACCTGACTATAAGAAATTTTCCATTTCCCTGTGATTAAGAACAACTGAAGATCTTTTGTTATTTGAGCATGCAAATCATCCTAATCTAAATTATGTTAGTTTCAATTTGTTTGCTAAATGGCTAAAAAAAAACAAAAAAAGCTATTTTTTCTGTTTAATGAAGTTCATTCGGGGATATCTTTTAATGCAGAATATTTAATATCTTGTGAAAACTGGCATTAAAAAATTTTCCTCTTTTTTTAATAGAAAATGTATGAATGCATAAAATTTAGCCATGAATCTTCAAATAACATTATTATCCTTGCATTTACCATTTCATGCTAAATAACATATTTTAAGCAAGTCAAGAATAGCAGCAATAATTTTTTATATATACTTTTACAATTTCAACTTTTAGACTTAGAACTGACTTATCCTTTGCTTTTAATATCATACTGATGTGTAGATATTGTATTATGATATGTCATATTCGTCCAAATATAAGCCCACATTTTGTCCAAATTTCAGTTGTGAAAAATAAGGCTGCAACTTATATTCATGATCTTACAAAAATTATTACATTTCATCATATTGTATGCAGTTAAAAAATGTGCTCATTTTGAAACAAAGTCAATCTTTCGAATATTAGGGTGTGACTTATATGCATAATATTTCTTAGTGGCCTATATTTGGGCCAATACTATGTTTATGTTACATAGTGGGTTCAAGGAATTCTATACCTTTTGTTTGTTACATTGTCGTATTTGATGATCTGAAAATATTTTAAATACAGCCACTTCCAAAGTATTGTTCTTCCACAGTAACACCTTTTGCCTGAGCTTTTGGTATGCTTTTTTTTTTTTTTTTTTTTTTTTTTGCTGATTTTTTCCATAGTATACTTCATCCCTTTTTTTTGGGGGGGGGGTCGCATTTTAACTTTCATGCACTAGGCATCTTTAATAAGTAGTAATAATAAATTGTTAAATTATTAATAAAATAATGAAATAATACTTAGCTCCTTTACTGCTGTCATTTATCTCCTGACACTTTGCAAAGCAGCTTATATAATGGGTTACCGGTAAAGAATTTCAGAATCATCTGTTAATCAATCACATTAACAATTAATGAAATGTTTAACTACTGGAGTATTACTAAAGTGGCTGAGTTTAAAACATTTTGATATAATCAAATTAGTTTGGGTATCACTTTTAATCCCAAAAGACGTTGAACCTACTACTTAGTATACAGTTGTGACAGTATCGAATGAAAATAATCTGATATAGTAATGTAAATTTCTGTAACTTATGTCATTGTCTAAGTTTATTAATACATTTCAAACTAGTTTGTATCAAAGTGCTATGTTAGATTCATATTTTTATTATCATGAATTTCCTGCTCTTGTAATGTCAGTTACAATATAAGCATTTAATTTAAAAAAATTCCCATAATAAAATATTTAGTTTGCTTTACTTCGTATGTTTTTGCATTATATTTTATTGTTTCCTAGCTGAAAGCACTATAATGTCTTAACTTGAGTCTTGCTGCTTGCAAATTTTATTTAACATTAATTGCAAGAAATTTTGTTGAACCAGTTTTTGATAGCACTTTCTGTAATGTATATTTATTAAAATAATAGTATATTATTGGTGCTTGCCTTTTCTGAAGAATTGATGAGAATGCTTTAAAAAAATCTTTGCATGAATTTTAATCCAAAATATTAGTTGCACATGGCAATTTTTGGCTTTCTTCAGTTATAATGAATTTTGCTTTAAGGAGAGAGATGGGAAATTTGATTTTTCTGCCTTTTTCTTTTATCTCCTCTTTTTTGAATTTCCTTTTTTTGAGATGTGCAAAATTTTTTATTCCATTTACACGCTTTCTTTGAGCATAGTTTTACATCTTGTACATATACCCTGCAAGTTGTGGCGTAAATAAAAATGGTGACAAACTTTAGGTTTAAAATCATATTCACTATAGTCTCAATACTTTGAATACGTAATAAGATCCTGATATGACAAATAATTTCTGTGAAAAGAAAGTCTGTTAAATGCACTATATTTTTTCTGCTTGCAATAATTTTAACAGACTTTTTATATGATGAGCTGAGATATTGTTTCTATGTTTTGTGCTTAATGATATCGCCAGGCTGAAATGAAGCAAGCAGAATTGTAGAAATTTTATTTTATATATCATACTTAACCAAAAGTAGCTCTTTGATTTATCAAATATAGTTTGCATTAAAAAAAGCAGACATATTATTTTTTTAAATAATTTTTGAATCAAATATTGTATTATAGCACACTTTTTTGACAGTGAGTAATTAAATACACTATGTTTATAATCATTTTAAAATAGTAACTCTGTGCTGATAATCAAGGTAATAATGAAGACAAATAATTTCATTTCTATGGCACCAATATCATGCTTCTTTTATTATAAATAATGGCAGTGTGTCAGCATAAGAGACCAGGTGGCAACACACTGAATTAACAGTATACCTTCAGTCAAAGTAAATGGCATTACAAATATATATAATTTTCATTTTAATAATCTAATAAATATCAAACTATAATCTAATACATGTGTAATGAATTTCACAGTATGATCTTGTACATATATAATGAATTAGTTAAACATTTCAGGCTAGGTGTGACTTATGCTACTTTATTAATTTGTTGTAAGAAACAATGGTAAATTATTAATTTATTTAAAAATAATTTTCATATCCCCATTGAAATTTCTCTGTAGGGTACTTTGTCCTGTCTTACTTATTTTTCTTTCCAGAGGATATCGCGTAGGAAAAATCATTAGTTCTTTTTTCAGATTACTGTGTCTCGCTTGAATTAAAAATTAAAAAAAAAGTGATAAAGACTGTTATGTCTTCTTTTAATTATAATTTACTTTTTTTAAAATCAGTTGACAGTTATAACGAGGAAAAAATAAACATTTTCTATATAGGAAAGATAGTTCAAAGTTTTGTAAAATTTTATGAATAAAAGAATAAAATCTATATGTCGCAAAAATGCATTTTATTGAATATAGAGTTAGGTATATAAGTATTAATGTCTATAATTAACTCCATTAATGAAAAAGTGGAAAGTTTTTGAAACATTTCTTTCCATTCAAAGCTCTTTTGATTCTTTAAAAGTAAAATAAATAAGTCTTTTGATTCTTAAAAGTGAAAAAATTATAGCTTGCTTAGAATACTTTCTGTTTCTGGAACATTTCTAAATTTGAAACATCACCTCCAACTGACATTATGTTGGATATCATGTGTTTTAAATTATGGATAGTTTAACATCCTAATTTTGTATCTGTTTTTCTATTAAACTAGATAACATCACTAGCCAATACAAGCATTTATTCCATATTTCATTTAGAAACTTTGCCACATTCCTTCATTTGAGAAATAGTACTTTTATAATAATGTTCTTGAAAATCAAGTCATTTTTAAAATTAGATATTTGAACTGAACAATGACATATGAATATAAAATATCACAATAAACTCATTTTACTTTCAATGAAAAGAAATTAATTTTTTATTCAAGAAAAAGAGAAATTTTATTGTTTCTTTGAAGATAGTATGGGCTGATAAATTTCATTTTACAATAAGAATATTATTTTATACAATATAAAACAGTAAAATTAAAAACATGGAGCTTGTTATAGAATCTAACCTACATTAGTACTAAATGGAACATATTCTATTTTAATATAGTTGATTACTGAGATGCAGAAGAGATTATTAGTTGCAACAGAGATGTTGTTTTGAATGGTTTTTAACACATATTTTTGTCCCTACTGTTTTTAATCATTGAGCTTAAAATTATTCAACTGTTAATAATTAGGATTAGCTGTTTTAGTGAATCATATTTTTCTATGTTGTATAGCAATAAGAGCAACAGGCATGATTTCAAACTTCAGAATCACACAAGATAACATACATAAGATCTTATATTAATTAACATGAGAAACATACTTTGAGCTTTTATTTTTATTAACATCACTGCAATATTAAGAAGCTTTTGAAACACATGAAAAAGGCCAAATAAATTTACTGTAATTGCTATACTCATTAGGATATTATAGAAGAGTTATATTTTAGATTTATAAAAAGGGCATTAAAAGGTAATGTTTATGCATTACAAGCATATATTGAAAATATACATACATTGTAAATGACATGCATAGTAATATATTTCAAAAAAGTTATATGTAATAAACCACTGCACAAAATGTACCTAAATTATCAAATTTGTAAATAAATAAATAAAAAGCAATGTTTACAGGCACATATTGAATATATTTTTAAACCTAAAGAAATTAATTTATAGAAATGTAAGAATAGAAGCTGCTTATATGCTTACTACATTATACTGGTTCCCCTCTCCAAATTTTCCTCTAATTCTAGTGCTTACCTTTTTCTATTGCTAGTTTTTAAAAATCTCAACTTTCATCTCCACATTTCCTTCCAATGTTCTATCACCAAATAGGCAATCTCCATCCAGAGTTGCTTTACACAGGGTATCTTCTAGTGCTTCAGTAACCTCTATTCAAGTTTATGAATCTCGAGGCTCTCGCTTATTCCCCATCCTTGGTTCTCCTCGAGCTCGATCCCGATCTCCATCTCCTATCAAAATTGGATTGTCACCAAGTCTATTTAAGAAAGTACGTTCAAACTCTACTGTTTCACCCAAGAAAATTGCTAAAGCAGGATCAGAACTTTTTTCACCTGTGTATGAGTCAGAGTGTGCCGTTTGCAAAGACACCTCTCATCAAAAAGAAAAGGCACACCAATCATTTCGAAGCAGCATACCTGCTCAGTTGAAGCGATTTGCTTCTTTCAAGTCTGGCCACGTAAATATCTCTCAATTGAAGCGCATCTGCTCTGATTCCCTCTACCCCAGGTCTCCATTGCTGGAAGAGCAAGTTGCAAGTTCAGTTCCTGGTCCCAGTTCGCCTACTGAAAAGGTAGCTCATTCTCCAGCAAAAGGAGCCATCTCCTCTGCACACAGAAGGTCTTCAGATTCTGATCTCAGTACGACTCCAAAGGGTATGTAGTATTTGTTAACTCGTGGTTGAGGTTTTTGTTATGATTTCTTTTCTTTTTAATACTGGCATTTTGATGCTGCGTTATTTTCATAAATTTTTGTAGCTAACATTGGTAATTTTTGCATGAAAATGTGTATTGCATTACAATTCTCTGAGAAAAGTTTTGATGTAACTTAATAGAGAAATTATGAAGTTTAGGGCAGGTCATGGAAACATAGGACTTTAAGACTAAAATCAGCACTGGAAAATGCGACAAAAATATTTATTTTTCTGAACAATGTGTTATGCTAAACTATTTAATATAACAATGCCATTTCTTTCTTCAGCTACTTATTTTTTTAACCATATGTTTTTTAACTTTTTTAATCAGAATATGAAGAATGGTTTTTTTCAGTAGTACAGATTAGCAATACTGTAAATCTCAATATGCTATGTGTCCAGCCAAATTATGCAATATTACATATTACCAGAGACTCCATGATTCTGTGTCACTAAATATTTCTTAACCCTCTCGCTGCGCATCCTGCGCTTTCCACAGGCAACGTAAAAGTAGCAAAATTTGCGCAACCTGCGATTTCCATGGGGATGAATTTTTGTCAACTATTTAACTCTGCAACTCGCTCTTTCTCTGTTCAAGGTTTCCTTTTGGCTTTTCTGTGATGTTTAATTGTTTATTTATATGTATACTAACAGATGGCGTTAGTTGTCCACATTTCTGCCAAATATATACAGTGTCAAAAGTCGTTAATCCGGACTCGTCGGGACTTCGGCGATTCCGGATTATCGATTTTTACGGATTATAGATCATCATTTTAAAACTGGTAAGATGGCATGCAGAAATTATAAATTTAAAAATAGGAAACTGTAATTTATGAAATAAAGAACAATTATGATCTAAAGGTTATCAAAATTTACAAAAAAAAAAAAAAAGCTTAATATTTATTTGTTTACTTTACTTTCTTCGCTATCAGAAGCGAATTATAATGACGAGGAATTTGATTTAAATCATATCAAAGACGGAGTACATCGAGATGAAATACTACATTTAGTAAGGAATTATAAGCCAAATAAAATAAAAACATCTGCCCTAAAGATAAGGATAGTGCTGACAGATCAACTTCCAATTCATTGCGTGCCGCGGCGTCCCACCGCCGCAGAGTAGCGTGAAATTGATAAACAGATTTCGGAATAGTTAGATAAACAAAGGATATGCCTTTATCCATTTTTTGCAGCAATTCCACTTTTTGTTTAATGGACTTCGAAACATACTTTCGCTTTGTAGATCCCTTACGTATTAGTAAATATATATCGGAAATTCTATTTGACATAATCGAAAGTTCAAGCTTACTTTTATAAAATTGCTCTAACAGTCTGCAAAAAATAATAAGCCGGATCCAATTTGAAGATTAAGGAACAACGCAATCTGCAACATTAACTGAATTAGATAATTTTAGCTTAGCTTATAATGTCCTTTATACATTAAACGCGCATGCATAAACTTATTTTGGGCATGCGCACACGCATATTCGCAGCCAAAAAGGTCGTACGCGCATGCGTCAATTCGACGCATGCGCAGAAAGTTAGTAGCTTTGAGGTCCGGATTATAGATCATTCCAGATTATGGGTGTCCGAATAAACGACCTTTGACTCTACAAGAATATGTAATGTAGCATTTTGCGCGCACTTTTCAGAGTTCAAAGATGTCTGGCAGGAATCTTTTCGCGAGTGATATAATCTATGTTCCTGATGATATTTCTGACACTGATAGTAGTTCTGACTCTGATTTTAAATATATTGAAGATAGTTATAGCGAAACTGATGAGAATTTCTCAGATTCCTCTGCAGATAGTGATGAATCTGAAAATTCAGTTTCTATTCAAAACGTTCGACAGTGGTGCAAAATTGATATGCAAAATATTACATTATGCAAATATTTCATTAGCATATATGTTTTACCTGTGTATTTTATAAAATAAATCATAATTTAACAAATATTAATTTTCAATATTTTCTTTTTATATCATTAGTCTTCAATTTCAGTATTCTGACAACCTTTTTCTATGATCTAATTCTATATTGAAAAAAAAAAACTCTTTTACAAAAAATGTTTGTATGTTTTAACTCCAAAATATATGTAGATTTGAAATCTGTAATAAAAAAATATACACAATTTTTGAACCTAATTTGATCAAAAACGTACGCAGCGAGAGGCTTAATTGTGTGATTTCTAAAGGAAGAAATGTTCTGTGGCCGTCATGTTCTTCAGACTTACCAGTATGTGACTGCATTTTGTGAAGCTATCAGAAATCTCAGTTATAATTTAATAAATATAAGTTTGTCATTGACAGACTCATTGTAACATTACAGAAAACAAATGTAGCTGTGCCTATGACCATGCTCCAAAACACAGAGAACATTTGAAGAATGTGTTGTTAAAATGAGCTAAAGAGAGGAATGATGCTGTCATAAATAACATTCCAATTCTTGTAAAATAAATATTTGAGTTACATAGTAAAATGTTAGTCTAAATCTCAAAACTGGCAATTAAATCCCTTATTCACTCCTCAGAAGTTTCCCTCCCCTACACAAAATTTGGATATTTATATATTAATTAAAAGAGAATTAAATACAAGATTTATTTTTTTTAAAAAAGGGAAGATGAAGAAAGCTGCTGTATAAAATGTTAGATATTCTTACTCAAATCCAATTGTGATTAAGATTGTAATTGAAAATGTAAATCATACTGGCTATTACAATCCTTGTTCTCAAGATAAATGAAATGGCATAGCTAAGAAGCATTGTATTTTAAGTTGGAGAATGTGAATGTTTTTTCCTTGTTCTGCAGAAAAAAAAAAATATAGCTATTAATGTTAAGCAAAGTTAGAGAATTTACATATTTTTATACATTTGGTCAGTTTTTAAAATTTGATTTATGATATTTGATGAATATATATATATATCATATCAATTTTCATATCAAAATTGAAAGCAATTTTGTATGACAGTGACTAGCTCATAAATATAAAAATTTGTTTATACTACAAGAAAACAAAATCACTAAGAATAAAAGGAGACTGAATAGATTTTACTTAGAAGAGTCCCCTGATGACAGAGAAATAAAAAGATTTATATTTTTGTTAGTGCTAAAAATATATCAGTGATTAAAGAAAATTCTGGTTTCAAAGGATTATTATAGAAAACTAGCAACTGTAAAAGATGATATGTGTTAGCTAACTATTTTAGGTATAGATTGGAGTACCACAGTTGCAGTTTTTATGTTCTTGCTGCGGGCAATAAAATTAGTGGACTTTAGTGTGATATTATATTTTGTAGAATTAATTGCATTATGTGTCCTCCTAAGTGTCTGAAAGTGCAACATCAGACACTTACAAGGAATAAATCATTTTAATAAAATAAAATATGAGAAACAAATCATTTTAGTGAGATCCTGCAAAAATTATTTATAGAGCCATTAAAATCTTAACATGTTTATAAGATACAATATGGAAAAAGAAAGAGAGATTCTGTTTGCAGTGGGGCGTCAAATAATGAATGTCTTATGTCAGATGATCCAAAAGGTACACACATCAAACTTTAAAAAACTGCGGAAGTTCCAAAATGGATATTAATGGTTCATATTAATTGCCTCAATGATGATATCTTGTAATATTACAAATAATATATTTCTTGAAATTTCAGTTGCAGTGTATGCTATTAGCTTTAAAATCCATATAATTGGTTCATACATACAAAATGAAGGAAGTCAAGAATAAAATGTTGCAACCACTAATAAAGAATATGAGAAAGATGTCATCACATTCAAATCTGTGCACTGCAAAGTAATGTTTAATCGTAAAAATTTGTTCTTCTTGGGGAAAACTATCTCCATCTTTCACCAAGTTTTACTTGGTGAAAGATGGAGATAGTTTTCCCCAAAGTGCAAAGTATAAACTTTCAAAGTGCAAAGTATACACTGGAACTGAAATTTTAAGTGATATATTACTTGTATTGAGTAGCATCCACTGATGCAAAGTTTGATGTGCATGACTTTTGGAACACTCTGTGTAATCAGTATCCCTCACATAACAAAGTAGAGCATGGCTGAAAAATAACCCAAGTAATGAATTCCGTCCTATATTACAAAATATGTGCGAATATCTTCATAGTGTTGCATGCTATGAGTTCTAAATAACTAAGCCAGATCATTAGGAAAACTTTGAATTTTATTGATGTAAACTATAACTTCTTCATTAAGGTAAAGAATCACTCCTTGAGAATCAGTATCTCAAGGAGGAAAATAGATTTAAGCAAAATCCTTTATGTGAGGAATATTACATATTGCTAAAATTGCCTACAAAGCAAAGTTTAAAGCAGTAATTGCTGGGCAAAAAAGCTCAACATATCAAGAATTCCACTACAACACATGCCAAGAGTCTGAATCCATCTGACTAACAGCCTCCCATTTATAACTTTCCTCAAAGGGATATTGATAGAAGTTTCAAGAAAAATCACTTCTAGGTCTTTGCAGTTTCATATTTTGGAAAATTCAAAAATATCAACATGTTAATGACAAAAAGCCAGATGTTGCCAAGGGCCCAGTAATGTTTCTGTCCAAGAGGTCTCTAAACTCCAATGTCCTTTAACTCAAAATAAAAATCCATAACACAGTGCAGGAAATCAATGCATACAAACACGTTAAGTGGACAGAATTCTAGATTAAACAAAGTTAAGCATAGATTAAGTCATCATAAAAATGCATTAAATAAATAAGTAAATGAAAACAACATATAGCATTAAATATATATGTAATAATATGTTAAATATATAAAGATAAAAATATGTAAATTAAAAGATAATTTAAATTAGCAATGGTTCCTTAATCCATTTTAATATCAGTACTTCTCCTCTCTATTCTAAAAATATAAAAAACTTTTTCTGATTTGTTTAATTTCTAGATTAATTCATATCCTATGACTTTTACATAACGATGATGTAGCTAATTTGGAACTTAAAATTTCGTGAATCAAACCTTTTTTTGTAATAAGCTGCTATATTGGATAACTATATACTTTCCTTCTATTTCTGTTGCCTCTAGGATGCTGCAGTGCTACTTTATTCTTACCACAATAGAATCAAAAATGTAAATGCGTTGAATCTGGTATGATTAGAGTGTGCCAAGCGAATTGTGGCCACAAATGTCAATTGAAATAAAAATAAATATTTTATCTGCCTTGGCTGCCAAGTTTGTTGTTCATTGTGGATCAACATTTATGCTATCAACTTTTCTACAATATTTCATATTGTGTAAACATGAACTTGAAAGTTAAAAGAAAAGAAGATACTATCATGGAGAAATTTTTTTAAATTGAGTTTAAAAAGAAAATGAAGTGAAACTATTAAATTTTTACGACAAAGTAAGATGCAAATTGAAAGAAATCTTAGAAATATTTAAAACTTAAAACTATGCAAGTGAATTATTCATATTTTAATGCTTCAGATTGACTTATCTATAAGTATATTCTGAACATTTTTAATGCTGTTACACAATTTTTGATCAAATTCAGAAATTAATTAAAATTATTCCCATAATAAATATGTATATATAAACTAAATTGAAGCAAATAAACTAAAATGTATAACATAGAGCAGTTTTTTTCTTTTTCTTTTCCTTTTTTAACCTTCTGTTTAGGTAGTACCAAAATGCAGAAAATATGTATGTGCATTAACAATAATAGGGAATATAGAAGCTGGCTAGTAATAATACCTCTTAGTAATACATTATCACTCTAAAAAGGCAAGTGCTCCTAAATAGGCATGATGGACACTCAGAAGTTTCTTCTGATGAAGAACAAGAGAAAACAAAGGATTCAAGCCTACAATCAGTCATCAAGGACCTTCTGAAGAAGTGGATAAACATCCAGGCAGTATACAAACAGTAACATCTCAATCAAGTGGATGTGAATATAATAACGTACTTGTTTACAGGTTGCAAGCTTAGTTACAATGCAATGCGATTGTCTGTTGATTGATGCGATTGTCTATTGAATGTCTATTGATTATATTATTCTAGAACACCCTGAAAATGAGAGAGGAACTAACCATTTTAGACAAATTCTTAAAATCTGAAGAAGGCCAAAGACAGCCGAGATTTCCATCTCTGCTCCAGTGGAAAATTGTGGAGATTCAGATTAAATTGAACTAAAACCTATGATATTATATTCATATACAACGTACATAAATATTTTGAAGTCTATTCAACTTTGCTAGTGCTTCAATATTTTTTAAACATTTTTAATAGTTTTACAGTTTTTGACCAGATTAAGAAATTAATTAAAATTATTCCCATAATAATTTATGGTATACAGCATCCCACATAGCAAATGTCAACCTTCAGTGGATCATACTTGTTATGTGAGGTATCGCTATATAAACAACTTTTCAGATTAAGTTAATTTATTTAACTGGTGCAAATTTATATATTATACTAAACTAAGAAAAATAATCACACCAATTTGAACTGCAGTATAACAGAATTCAGGTTTAGCTTGGTTTTATTTTACAGAAATAATATTTTAAGGAAATCTGATGCAAATCTCTTTTAATCAAGTGCAAAAATATTTTGCCTACGTGTGTGTTATTCAAAGTCCTAATGCTCATCACTCGTTTCTTTGCTTTATGATTTAGTTCAAATAGTATTTCTGTTTTATTAAAAATATGAGGTACATGTGTATTTTCCTGTCACCTCTGAAAATTGGTGAATATTCTTTGAAATGTACAGTCTTTCTGGTGAAATTTTGAAGGAATAGATGATACTTTGTTTATTTAGATAATCAAAGTGTACGAATTACTCATACAGCATATCTATAAATAAATAAATAAAAAGAGCTCAAGCTTTGATAATGTTACTAACAAAACTTGCAGCAGTTATTCTGCCAACTAAAAATTCCTAATAGTTTTTAAAAAAAGCAAGCAAATAGTTATCTTCATTATGAATGTGGTGCTGCCTGAATTCCCTTAAATAAGAATCTAAATTATGTCTTGTTGTAGTTTTATGGTATTTTTATTGTGCCATTTTCCTGAATTAACTTTTGATGTTTTGGTACAGTAGCAGAATCCCATAACTTTGGAAATATTCCATTGCTAATGGTTTTAGAGAAGACAGGCTCGAAATTTTAATGTTTCTTAGAGTATAGGGAGAAAACAGAGAAACAGCAGTAAATTTATATCCTTCTTCACAGAAACAAAACTGACTTATCAAAAATTAATTCGGCTTGCATAAAACCAAACTGAAGATCTTATGAGTGTGTTGTGACATCATGCTTTTCCATTATCAGTGCTAAGTTGCTTTGTTTGGTGACAGTTTTTGTTTATCAAAGTGATCAGCAGAAAAATATGTAAATACCAAATTAATAGTATAGAAATGTTCCACCATATAAAATCAGTCTTGATATCTTCAATATAGGAAGCAGTATTGGTGACAATGGTAGTGGTGGAATGAGATCTGTTAAAAGACCTGCTGTTGCACAGGAGAGTCTGAGTATGCTGGTATGAATTTCTTTGGATTATATTTATATTTAGTATTTATGCTTTTATTAGTTTTTGCAGTTATTTAACTAAAAATTTGTGTTCTTATTTTGTATGATAGGTCTTTTATCAATTATTCATTAAAACTTCTGTTATAAAATTAATATAAATTTAAAAAAAAACAATAAGTATATTCAAAAACGGTTTATTTTTCACATATTTTTTCATAATTATTTATTTATATTAAATTGATAAATATCATTAAAATGAAGATTCTTGTTGTAAGAATGCCTTTCACATTTGTTATTAAAATGCTACAGTATTTTCTTTTCCCCTTATTTTATTGGATTTGGTAGTTAAATTAATAGGTTGACTTTCAGATTTTCACTTTTTGTGTTTCCATAATTCAGTTAGCCACCAGCGGTTGAGGGTTAAAGTTGCTGAACATCGGTAGTTCAGTATGGGGCTCGAATCCCGAACAGGATGGCTGCATGAGTGTTTTCATGGTTTTCTCCATATGTAATGTATGTATGAGCCAGTTTTCCTTAGAAAGTCTGTCCACGATGGCATTCCTCCCGTTAGGCAGACAGCCCTCGTATGCTTTGCCATAATTAAATATTCCACCACCACCACACTACCGTAATTCAGTTAATGGTATGACTTTCAAGTTTGCCCAAATATAAAATAAGTTGGTAAATGTTAGCTAATAATTAGAAATCTCTTTATTTTCTCCTCTAATAAGCAAAGCCAATGTCTATCTTTTATAAGGGTCAAATTATTATCTTGGTGAACTGGAAAAGGTCATCTTTTTGCATCCATCTGATTAAATATGTAATATATTTTATACGTTAGTAACATTGTTTTGAAAAATTATTGAGAAGAGTATTTTGTATATTAATGTATATTAATGTTATTAATGTTTGTATATTAATGTTAATTAAAAATGAACAATTTACTATTAAAATATGAAATAATTAAAATCAATTTAATTTTAATTATTTCATATTTTAATAGTGAAATTGTTCATTTTTAATTATTTCCACAGATTATTCATATGTTAGGTAAAATTCTTCATAGCTTAAAAAAAGATAAAGGGAAAATATACCCAATATTTTTTATAAAAATTTTTATTTATTGTTAACTGCATTTGTTCAATTTCATACTAAAGGTAAAAATAGGTAATGCATATCCAAAAGTTACTTTTATTTATATATTTGACATTTTGTTTTCTTCTACCTATAGTCAGCCAAGTGCTGTTGCATTTATCTATGAGATAAATATTTTAATTCTTATTGATAATATCGAAATAGTCTATTGATTATATTATAAGAGGAGAAATAAAATGTATTATATACATTTTTCAGGAAATCTTTGAAAAGTTACAAAAAACAAGGAAAAGGGTAGAAGTATAAACCATGTTCCCTGCTCAGATAACCTGTAAACAAAGGAAAGTAAAAGAATTTTGTTGAAAATTCAGCATTCTAAGCTTAGATATCTTCAGATAGTTTTTCAGGGTGAATTTCTAGCTCTTCTAATTTAAATGTTTGTAGTATTTGGAAAAAGACTTCTCTGAGCAGCAATTTTGTAATAAAAGGTTGTAACAGAAAGAATGCAACAGTTGCATGAAAATTAAAATGTTTTCATATGCAGACTGTTTGATATAAATACAGAAAATATGTTAGGATATATTCACTATGCATATATACAATAGTGTTATAAAATTTTGTGGTTTAAAATCTTTAATGTAAGACAAATTTTTTTTCCAAAAAAAGTAAGAAGAATAAAGCTAATCCAATATATTAAGCAATGCATTTTCCTTGATAATGAAGATGTACTTAGGCTAATGTGGAAAAATGCAAGTTCTTTTAACCTTGAAGCAGATACCAAAGGTACTTGTAAATTGGATTGGTTTTGCTTTACGATTAAATCACAAGGCATCACAAAATTCAGTGTTAGTTTGAATTTGATTTCAAGAGGAAATGTTTGTGCTTTTTTTAAGTTGGATTGATGGCAATTTCCTCTTTTGATCATAATATTGCAACATAATTTACTTCCCCTTTTTTTTGGGGGGGTAAGCTATACTGTTGTATAAGTTTGGCATCTATTGACTGATCCAATAATTTTCAACTTTTTCTGACCCATTATTCTTTTCTCACCTTATGTCCTTCATTTTTTATTTGAATGGTTCAGTTGAAATAATATTAAAATAAGAACTTTTATTGTATGATAAAAGTACATATAAAAAACTTTAACTTGACAATGTCATTGAACTTTAAGCCCTTTTTGCTGATATTATTTCTATCGTGCAGTTCTTCTTAACATATTAGCAAACTCTCAAAATTAACTTATGTTTGCCATTATTTGTAGTTTTTTGTTTAAAAATAATACATGTAAACACATATGTAAAAATTATACATATAATATTTAATATTCACAATTTGTGAATTGATTATAGAATTAATTTACATAAATTTCAATATTATATTAATATATAGAACTTTTTTCTTTCACCATCTGAAAGTTCACAGCCTCATCTTTTTTATATTTTAAAAGGTAATTATGAATTGTAACTAATCTTGTATCTTTCAGGAATATCCATTCATAACAATGAGACAGTTCCCTGCTGAATTCATTCAACATGTTGGAGGGGTAGTATCAGCCCGCTCAGTTAAACTTCTGGTTCAAATAAACAATCCTGGTAAGTCTGTAATGTTAATTTTAATAATTTTATTATTGTGTTCTCTTTCTATGTCATTTCTTTAAGAAGTATAGCTTTAACTCATTAACCACTAAAACTACAAGGAATTATTTTTTTTTCTCATGAAAATAAGAACAAATATTAAATTAAGCATTTATAACATAAATTTACATTGAAAATAAAAAAAAAATTGCTCTTACCTGTGGAAAAAGCGAGTGTTGCGTTCGCGCAACGGCAGCGGAATAAGACTACGGATGTTTAGTGAATAGGATTGTACTTGTGCAATGTTTACTTTGAGTGGAGCACTAGATTACCTTTTAGCTGTATAACGTTTTAAATCTACAAATCACTTTACTTGTAATATATTTAATATTAAAATATACATTATATTTTTTTTTTACAAATACAGATTATTTCAATTGAAAGATTCAAGCGGGAAAATCTTCAATAAAATCATGATGTAAATAAATCTATAAACATGTTGTATCTATGGCACTCTTTACTATGAAGTCTTTTGTTATCATCAGACTTCACGATAAAATGTCTACCATCTCCATGCAGTGGTTTTTGAATGCTGAATTTACTAGGTCTTCCTGTTGCTGATCTATTTCTGGCTAATTCTACATTGTCAATAGGAGTTTGCAAAAGGAATAATGCAGTCTCGCACCTGAAATCTAAAAGAGACGACTTATTTCCAGTAGTAGAAAGTCGTGATATTTAGATATGGTCTCACCTTATATAATTTATCAGTATTGTCAGTTTGACTATTGTCAGCTAAATGCAAATTCTGCTTCATATGCAAACGTGATATGATTCCTGTACTGCAAACGTGATATCGATTTTTCGTACAATAGGAACAGAAATGTCCTTATCAAGAGACCAATATATTTCTTCTTGAGGTAAAGAAAGATATCCCATAAGCTATAATATTCCAATAAATCTTCCCATATAGGCTTCAGATGCAATAAAATTCTGGGAGATTTTGTTGAGCATCTATATTTGTTTGTTCAACGAGAAGAGAGTAAATGTCTAAACCAAAAAGAAAATCGAAAATCTCTCCACTAGTTTTACCTTGTATTTTGTCTTTTGTAGTTTCTCTTCTATCTCTCTTCCTGAAACATAACTGACTTTTCCTTTTTTATCCATTTCAAGTTTTCAGTTTTCTGCTTTTTAAACTTTTTCATATGACTACCACTGCTTTTAGAAGGCTGAAACGTATTTCTTACGTGAATTTCAACTTCCCCAGCAATATTATTTGGTAAAATATCATTGTCATTGTTTAAAGCATTGTCATTCCCTTCTTCTTCATCACTAGCTTCTGCAATTTCTGGGGGAACAACAACAATATCAGTTTCATTCTGGTCATTATTAACATTATCATAATCTGTTTCTTCATCAAAAAATCTTTAAAGAGCTTCTTCTAATGTAAGATACCTCGTTATAGACATTTTTAAAGCAACCAGAACATCGAAAGGAATGAGTAAAAAAAAAAAAAGAGACTACCCGTTTCCTGCTGACGTTGCATCAGCGCAACACCTGTTTTCCATTCCTTCCCAACACAAATATAAACATCTGATTGATGTAATGTTCTGATAAACGGTGACTTTGACTAAAAAATAGACCACTTATAAAGACGGCGATTCTTTCGTTAAATGTTTTCGGTAAAAATACCTGGTCGAAAATTTTGCTTAAAGTATGAGATTAATTATTATAAATAAAATGATTGTTGAAAGCAAATATTTTTTACAGAAATAATCTTCATAATATTCCCTACACAAAATCATCTGCTGATATAAAATATCTTAGGTACTAATTCTGAAGTCAAACAACAAAAATCAGCGTTATACCTACAAAATTTTCACAGGACTAGTTTCGATGGTTTTACCGAACCATCATCTTCAGCTGCAAAACCGCAAATGAACAAGATAGGAAATAATGATTAGATAAGATAAGAAAGCCTGGACAAGAATAAGCAAGTGGCGCCATCTGTTGGCGAAACCAGAACTAAAACATAATTTCTCTAAAAGCCGAAGGCAAATTTGGATTGGAATTAGGATCGTTAACTAGAACAGAAAGATTTTTATGAATGTGAAATGCCTCTAGAAAATCCAGTTCTCCAATGGAAGATGTTTTTTTTTGAATAATTTTGGCAGCAGAAAAATTGAAAGTGTGATTTTCGGACCAACAATGTTGAGCAACAGAAGACCTCTGTGTTTTCTGTTTATTTTCTAACATATGCCTCATGTTCTTTGACGCGAAATTTTAAGGCTCTCTTAGTTTGGCCAATGTAAATTAAACCACACTGGCAAGGAATCCTATAAATACCCCAGGAATTCATATCCGGAATGGGGTCCTTGAGTATAGAAGTTGGAATTTTATTGATGGGAGAAAAAACAACCCGAAAGTTAAATTTCTGCAAAATATGTGCAACTTTATAGCTAATTGATGGAAAGAAGGGAATGACAACAGAATTTTTATAATGTCCTAAAATAAGAGTGTGGCTTTTAGTGTGTTGAGTTGAGAATTTTTTAACTGCTTGATTAATAATGTTGGGTAAAAAGCCCCTGTCAATAGCTATTGCTTTTAAATAATTTAGTTCTTCATCAAGGGCTAGTTTGGAGGAGCAAACTTGAAGAGCACGGAAAACATAGGAATAAAATGAAGCTAACTTTTTGTTTAGTCGGATGACATGATTTAAAGTGTGGTGGAAGGCAAACCGATGAGTTTACCGTAAACCTTCATCGGTTTGCCTTCCACCACACTTTAAATCATGTCATCCGACTAAACAAAAGTTAGCTTCATTTTATTCCTATGTTTTCCGTGCTCTTCAAGTTTGCTCCTCCAAACTAGCCCTTGATGAAGAACTAAATTATTTAAAAGCAATAGCTATTGACAGGGGCTTTTTACCCAACATTATTAATCAAGCAGTTAAAAAATTCTCAACTCAACACACTAAAAGCCACACTCTTATTTTAGGACATTATAAAAATTCTGTTGTCATTCCCTTCTTTCCATCAATTAGCTATAAAGTTGCACATATTTTGCAGAAATTTAACTTTCGGGTTGTTTTTTCTCCCATCAATAAAATTCCAACTTCTATACTCAAGGACCCCATTCCGGATATGAATTCCTGGGGTATTTATAGGATTCCTTGCCAGTGTGGTTTAATTTACATTGGCCAAACTAAGAGAGCCTTAAAATTTCGCGTCAAAGAACATGAGGCATATGTTAGAAAAAAGGAAACACAGAGATATTCTGTTGCTCAACATTGTTGGTCCGAAAATCACACTTTCAATTTTTCTGCTGCCAAAATTATTCAAAAAACATCTTCCATTGGAGAACTGGATTTTCTAGAGGCATTTCACATTCATAAAATCTTTCTGTTCTAGTTAACGATCCTAATTCCAATCCAAATTTGCCTTCGGCTTTTAGAGAAATTATGTTTTAGTTCTGGTTTCGCCAACAGATGGCGCCACTTGCTTATTCTTGTCCAGGCTTTCTTATCTTATCTAATCATTATTTCCTATCTTGTTCATTTGCGGTTTTGCAGCTGAAGATGATGGTTCGGTAAAACCATCGAAACTAGTCCTGTGAAAATTTTGTAGGTATAACGCTGATTTTTGTTGTTTGACTTCTGAATTAGTATTTATTCGGCGTGTTATTGTGTCTTAATTATATCTTAGGTAGTTATATTTATATACGCATTTATTTTGACCATTGTGTCAATGCAACACCAGCGGCTAATGGATTAACGGATTTCTGTGTGCTTTGGCTGTATTTTCTATTAATTTAGGCCAGCCTGGATGATATTATTGCTAATTGAGGCTGAACAGGACATGCCATGGAGCTAATTTTGAATTCCAGATAAGATAAGCTATGGGCATTTGTGATTGTAATATCTTCATAAAATGGTCCACTTAAAAGTTTTTTAACTGCATACCTTTTGAGAAGTTGATGATAAAGGGTACATTCCTTGAGATTCCTATTCCCTTAAGCGCTACTGCTAAAATGCCTTAAGCACTACTGCTAAAAATTGTGCCCCTTAAGTGCAGTACCCTTAAGCGCAGAGTACATCCTTTAAGCGCTACTACTAAAAATTGGGATGGAGCTTAGGCAATTAGCCTTCATGTGCTTTGCATAAACTAAACAATTATATCCCAGGAAGTTAACTTGATTTAATAAATCTGAAACTGATAACTGTTTTAGAGAAGTAAAGAGATTTTGAAGTTGCTAAGTGTATTCAACTGTATGACCCAATTTCACACTCTTTTTTTGGGGGGGCGATACTGCTTCATCAAGAGATATAGATAGTTTTATCAGCATGCTAAATAATAACACTTTTTTCAAGATATACTTAATGTTTTTTTAAATAATATGATATTAAGAAAAAATATGTTTAACTCTTTTAATTTTTTTGCTTAGTGCTCCTATCTTTTATTTATGTAATTATGAAAAGAAGTATTTATTTAAAATTATGGCTGTTTTAGTAGATATCATTATTTTTCTTCTTCAAATAACATGGATTTTTGACTTTGTTACTCTTTTTGAACCATGAAAACGTTCCTAAAATAAAAAAATTCATTAATGGAGGGGCCTTTAATAATCGTATTTATTTTAGGACAAATGCAACAGACTGTAAAAATATGTGGTTTGGATCTTCATAAAAATGCAAACCCATTATAAGAGTCAACAACAGATTGAATTTTTAATTGCAAAACCATAAAATGAAATTCTTTTACAAGTATTGTAATTAATTATGCCATTTCTCCCATTCATAGTCGCAGGTGTTTTTATGGTTTTCCCCATGTGTAATATGAATATAACGTAATATTCTTTAAATATTAATTCATAAATGTGTGCACTTACACAAGGCAGATAGCCTTTGAATGCTTTCCCATATTCAGTTAAATAAATTATTTTTCCTGATATTCCTTTGGTGTCACATCCAGCTACTAATTAGAAGATGTGTGGTTTAATCCATGGATTCACAGAAGATTCATGGAAAAAATACAGTTGATTATCTCATTTTCCATTTAAAAAAACCTGTAGTCTCTACAGTGGTGCCTGAAATTATATATTAAAACTGTGATATTCGTTCTGTGTATGACCTGTGCTCACAGTACCAGTGATTAGTAATTCCATGAAGAAACTCTATGAAGAAATGATTCCTCTCTAAATATCTAATAATATGTACACTGTAGTCAAATATTAAGTTACATTACTTACTCTTTGTATATTTCCCTTTCTGATACAGTCAAAAGTCGTTAATTCGGACACCCATAATTCGGAAAGATCTATAATCCGGACATCAAAACTAAAAACTTTCTGCGCATGCGCCACGTTGACACATGCGCAGAGGCGTTCACGCGTGCGCGTAAGACCTTGACTACTGCGCATATGCGTGTGCGCAAGTGCAGAATACGTTTTCGCGTGCGCATTTTATGTATAATGGACGTATAAGCTAAAATTATCTAATTATCTATTCCAGTTAATGTTGATGATTGCGTTGTTCCTTAATTTTCGAATTGCATCCGGCTTATTATTTTTGCAGACTGTAAGAGCAATTTTATAAAAGTAAGCTTAAACTTTCGATTATATCAAATAGAATTTCCGATATATATTTGTTAATATGTAAAGGATCTAAAGCGAAAGTATGTTTTGAAATCCGAAATATGTTTATCAATTTCACGCTGCTCGGCGGCGGGCGCCTAATGAATTGGAAGTTGATTTGTCAGCACTATCCTTATCTTCAGCGCAGATGTTTTTATTTTATTTGGCTTATAATTCCTTACCAAATGTAGTATTTCATCTCGATATGCTCGTCTTTGATATGATTTAAAACAAGTTCCTCGTCATTATAATTCGCTTCCGATAGCGAAGAAAAGTGACAGAGATTATTGAAAACAAAAAACAAGAAATTATGTCTGTTTAATAGAATTAAAGAGAAGGTATTATCACATGAAACGAAGCAAAACTTAAACAACTTACATTGAAAGAAATGTTTAATAAAGTAAACAAATAAATATTAAGCTTTTTCTTTTTGCAAATTTTGATACCCTTTAGATCATAATTGTTCTTTATTTCATAAATTTCGGTTTCATATTTTTAATTTTAGAATTTCTGCATGCCATCTTACGAGATTTAAACTGATGATCTATAATCCGGAAAAATCGATAATCCGGAATCGCTGAAGTCCCGACGAGTCCGAATTAACGACTTTTGACTGTATTTTATTTTTTTTTTTTGAAGAGACTTATAATCTAATTTTCTACTACTGAAAATGTAATTATGGGTGTCTCTTTTAAGCTCTTGTTTTACTCAGATTATTAGCAATACTTGGGCTCCAAAAAAAAAAAGGCCATGATTGTTAAAATTCTACTGTCATTTAATCATGCAATGAGCTTATAATTATGTAACTGACAAACTTCAACATTGGTTTCATTATTATGGCATGTATATTTGTCATTGCATCAGTCTTAAGCTACATTGCTTTCTGTAAGTTATTAAACAGAAAAATTATAGAGAGAAACTTCATTTAAATATCAGTTACATATATTTATATCTGTAAAATATTGTCATGGAATCTAGTTTATCTTAATAGTAGATCTTTTTTCATACTTGAAATTTCCATGTGAGAATTTCAGAATTAGCTTCAGATTTCTGTGAACCACTAAGCAGCTTATATTCAGTCAATAATATACTTCACTAATTTCTAATTTATCAGTAACTCACCTGTATTCATCTTTTAAATTATGTATCACTGCTATGTACACATTATTATTGTAATTTAAAAATTTTATACTAAAATGACTTTTCAGACTTGAGCTAAAAAAATAATTCTCAAAAGGTCAGCTCTTTGGAGCAATCATACATGCAGCAATAAAAAATATTGCTCGCTTAGTATATGGCATACTGAATCCAGCCTTCTGTTATACAGTGTATACAAGTTATATGAGTATTCAATTTAAGTTATTACTTTTACTGTCCTTCTGGATTTAGTGAAAGGACACTCTTCTATTTAGTGAAATGTACTTAGAAATATATTATTTTAGACTAATTCTTTTATTTATTCCTCGTATACCTATTGTGGAAGTCATTTTTATTAATTTTCTTGATATTTTATCAACTAATAGCAGATATAGAAAATATGCACTTGCATCAGTTGTAATGTTATATGTATTTATGTAAGAAGAGAGGTTAATTTTTTAAATTAGTTAATTTTGTAGTGCAGTTTTAGCTCTGAAATTACTTTTCCTCCGTATATTTTGAATGGCAGTGAATAATGAGTATTTTCTATCATTACCATCTACAATTCAACCCATATTTGCAATATCTAAACATTTTAAGAATTCATATACATATCTGCAAATTTCTATTAAAATAACGTTTTTGAATTTAAGAAAGACTTGATTTTTTGCATTACTCTGAAACAAGGTAAAACATTTTATAGACAATAATTGATCTTTTCAGTTTGTGAGTAAGTAATTACTGCGTGAAAACTGTTTTCAAAACATAAGTATGTTGCAAACATGAAATCTAAACTGTATACACTTTATCAACGATAGTTAAATTAATAATCATGCATATATATTTAAGTACTTTTCTCTTTACGTTTCACAGATGTAAGCATGCTAGTTGAAATGTCCCAAAATAGCAATAGTGCCATGAAAGTAATTGAGTAATGTTTGAATTCTTTTATCTTTCCCCCCCCCCGTAACTTTTAAAATAAAAGTAAATTTTTTTCAACATTTCTATTATGATTTATATTTTAACAGTCATGTTTGTTTCATGTTTTGTATAAAAATGTTCAGCTATAATCATGCTGTATTTTTATTTTATAAAAGGTAACTAATTTTAAATAATTTGTGTTGTTTTGTGTAGATGAGCCTGAAACTAGAGATGCATGGTGGACAGAACTCAGGAAGGAAATAAGATCTCACATAAGAGCGCTTGGATGCAATGTTGTCCTTGGTTACATGGAAACTACTAACATTAGGTGAAATAACTTATTTTATATGATATTCTGCTGAAATTAAAATATTTTTTTAATAATCAAAGATGTGCCCTATCTGAAATGTAATTTTAATTAATGTACTTAACTGTTGCATGAGTATGTTTGTAAAAATTAATATTACTAAAGTATCTTTGAAGGTTAAAAAAATTTTTTTCCCCATAAGCTGGGAGAAAATTCATAAAGATAAATTTTTATTCAGTTTGTAGTTCATAAATATAGAAATGTATGATTTCGTGTTGATCTTTTGTGTAAGCAAAGTTAGATTTGTAGAATTCAAAATATTTACAATTGTTACTTAGTTCCCATGTGGTATGTATGCACTAGCAAATATTTCTAGTTATATATATATATATATAATTAACTTGCTTATTTTTCACTGCAAAGATATTAGTCTGGGATACCTATATTAAGTTGGAATCTAAAGGATCGAATTACAATTTCCCCATTATTCTCACTTCCTAAAATGATTTTTTATGGAATGTTTATTTCAACAGTTAACATCTATAATTCAGGTAGCTCACATTTCATTGTGATTTACTATCAGGTCATTCAATTAGGGGAGTATAGGTATGCATCAATGAATAAGAGTTTATCAAATATGGCATAAAAAAGACATGTAAACTGGAAATGCCTTTGTTTAGAGAATAAAGCCATTAAAGTTTTAGGAAAGATAAGGATCTCAAGCTCCTCATTTTAGGCAGACTTCACAATAGTATTGAGAATGATGTCTATGGTGCACAGACAGATGAAATATTCTGTCACATCATCTTTATAATCTAGAATTAGTCTCCAGTGTTTCTCAAAATCATCAGAATAATTCAAAAGTGGATAAGCACCCAACAAACACCTTTCAAAACCGTGAGGTTCCTCCCCCTCCATTTGCTTAACTTTGCTCGTTAAGCATTGGTTATAAAGACCAAACCAATCAGTCATTTAGCTGTCTCTTCTTTGAGAATGTTATCCTTGATTTACAAGGGGATAGATTAAAATTATATTCGCAAAAAAAGGGGCAAATAACTTTATTACAACTTAGAGAGTTACAAATATCTGTGTCATCATCAGTATTCAAACTAGAACCAATGATATGGCAGCCAGAGCCTCTAACAGCCATGCATTTAATATATGTACTTTTAATGTTTGTCCCACTTGCAAATTTATTTTTCCTTCACTTTAGTTTGGCTTCAAGGGTGTTTTAAGTTACAATCAAGTATACAAATATTGTTTGCATAGTGAATAGTAGTATTATGATGCTTTATGATTATTGGACTAAATTTTAACTTTTACTCTTTTATTTGCTTTACAGTGATGATATTTGTGTACTGTCTGCTTCAGGGACTGCTGCTGTTTTGAGTACTTCTGACTCAGAATCTGCCAATATAAACAACACACCAGTTCTAGCCATGAGTCTCCAACCACGTCCTAGTTTAGTTACAACATCTGTAACTTCAGATTATGATAAAACTAAAGATACAGTGAAAGAGAAGGAAAAACCTTTAAAGATTGATGTGAATCTAGCAAATCAAGTGAAGCAGACTCATTTGCATGACTGGTATTGTTTCACTTTGATTTTATGAATACCTTGAAAAACAAATTGTTTTTGCAATTAAAATTCATTGTCATGGCAAAATAGAAATTATTGTCAGACTGTTCATTTACAAGAAATATTTATTTTGAGTCTAGTGTGCAATTGGCTCAGTCGAAAAAACTGCAAAGTTATATCTTATATAACCACAATTTTTTCTTTATTAAATAAGTGCCAAAGTTTGTATGTGGCATCCATTTAGGATTGTACAGTACCATTGCAAGATTTTTTTCCCCTATGCAGTTTGGTATTGTTAATTTGAATAACTTGTTTAATGTATGTAATTTTATGTTCTGTATATTAAATTTCTTGCAATTGATTCTCAAATTCGTCTATCTGAATGCATTAGCTTAAAATTGCTTTAGATGTTAAACTAGAATCTGAATAAAAATCAAATAGAAGTTTTCTAAATTTTTAATGACAAATTATTATTTGAGATGTTGGACTGAAATCAGACTTTTCAATTTCCACTTCCCTTCTCTAGAAGATTTAAGCCCATATAAATTTAAAATTTCATGTATTTTTAAGCATTTCATTCAACCCAACCTCATAATATGAAAACATATCATATTGTATTCATTTTTAGCCCAAAGGGCATTAGTCCAGAAGGTGTCTTAATTTCGTTTTGGCATTTTGCATTGATTCATTATAAATGGCGAATCACTTTTAAAATTGTTGCCACCAAATATTAGAGCCCTGTATTATATTTAAAGAAATTAAATAATGAAGAATCATCTGATAAATGTATGTTCTCGCATGATAAAAAACGGTCTAGAGCCACAAATTTGAACGTCTCTTACTGTACTGTGGTGATCACGGTTGAAATGGTTTCTGAATCAGAAGAGATTCGTGCACTAACCTAGTGCTTCGCATTAGAGAGTAAAGAACATCTATGATATAAAAATATACTTTTATTTACACAGCGAAAACGCGCAGCAACATTATTAACGAAAGCTCATTCTCCTAATAACATACTTCTTTTTACACTCCACTTGCGCATGCGCATTGACAATTACCAAAGGAGCTTGGCAGATACTGCCATCTGTTGGATAAACTATTCGCTACATATTCCTCCCACCTGAATTTACTGGGAGGTAAATTCACACATCTGTTAAGTATAATATATGCATAATAGTACAGTATACAATATTGAAGTATAAAATTATGCCTACCAAGATGTTCTAATTAAATTGAAATACAAATTTACCTGGAGATGCAGCATTCCATAATTTTCTAGACATATTAACAGATAATACTAAACCTAGAAAAATAAAAATAAATCAAATTATTACAAAGTATTCAAACAAGTACAAAACATTTCACAGACGTATCACTGGTTTCACAGTTCTACCACTGCTGGTAGTCATAGGAATATTTTCAGTCATATCCTTTTGGACTGGGTTATCCAGCTCAAGTCTGTACAGTCTTTGCACTGGTCTCAGAAACTCAGAAGTCTCTGTTTTTATGACAGCAAGTCTTATTTGTCCATCACGACCAGGTAGCAGCTTTATGACACGCGCCAGGTTCCAAAAAGCACGTTTTTTGTTGTTATCTTCAAGTAGAACAATTTCACCCACCTGGAGAGGTTTAGCTATAGAGTTTTTAATGGACTGCTGACGTAACTGTCCTAGATATTCCACACGGAATCTTGCTCTAAGTTGTTCTCTCACCTTTTGTAGATACTTAGCTCGTTTACTCAGTTTTTCCTTATCCACTGTATCGATATCAGGTACTCCTGATTTGGAAATCTCCCGCAGGAACATTTCTGGAGTTAATGGGGATGAATCTTCAACGTCTTCCGACACGTAGGTAAGTGGCCTAGTATTGATTACTCTCTCACAGTCGCATAGTACTGTAAGCAACTCCTCGTAATCCAGGGCAGCACGACCTAGAACTTTTCTCAGAATCTGTTTCACCATTTGAACTAAACGTTCCCACCAACCGCCCCACCAAGGTGCGGAAGGAGGAATAAATTTCCACTGAATTCTTTGCTCAGCGGCCTTTGATCGCAGACTCTCCCAATCAATTGTATGCAGAAGGCTCTCCGCTCCTTTAAAATTACTGCCATTGTCTGAGTATATTATAGATGGTCTTCCGCGACGAGAAATGAAACGTCTCAATGACTGGAAAAAAGCTTCAGTTGTCAAGGATGTTACTGACTCCAGATGAATGGCCCTATAGACCGCACATGTGTAAAGAACAATATAAGCTTTTCGACCATCCTTTAAGGTAGAGGGGTCCTGCCAGATCGACACCCACTATCTCAAAAACATTTGCATCACGTACTCTATCTTTCGGCAAAATTCCTGGAGTTACATCACAACTTTTGGATTTAAATCTTTGACATTTAACACATTTTCTAATGCAGTTTCGTACTGTCTTACGAGTTTTGAGGATCCAATACTTTTCCCGCAAATGAGACATCACCATAGAAGTACCAGCATGCAGCAGCTCATTATGTGCATTCATTATTAGTAATTTTACTACTGCATGATCAGATGGCAAAATGACAGGAAACTTAAAGTCATCAGTATCGTCGCGATAAGAAATATTGGTTTTAGCTCTGATCAAACCATCACGATCAACTATAGGTCTGAGGTCTTTAATTTTATCATCGTTCACACTCTTAAATGATTCTCTTTGAACCAATAACATAAGAGTTATCTCAGCTCTTTCAATTTCCGAAACTGACAAAATTTTGGAGGTTTCGTTTGTAATTCTTCGTAATTTAAAGTAAAACCTAAGAATCCAACCTAACATGCGTACAATTTTCTTTATGGATGAAAAGTACCTGTAATACCAATTGTCAGGTTTAGAATCTTTGTTAAGAGTTGTCAATACTGATTTACGCCTTTCTGAATTTATGATCTCTTCGTCCGGCAAATCGGTGCCTCTTGACCATGACGATTCTGGTTCTAACAGCCATGATGGGCCCTCCCACCATTTCGACAGCAAAAACTGTTTAACTGAACAGCCTCTAGAAGGGAGATCGGCGGCATTCAGCTCCGAAGGGATGTAATGCCAATCTTCTATTTTTGTAAGTGTTCTGATTTCTTGGACACGATTCCAAACGAAAGTTCCCCACCGTACGTCTCGCTGGATCCAGCACAAAGCGGTTGTTGAGTCAGTCCAGAAGAATGTTCTTAAATTTGGCATGTTCAAATCTGAAAAGACCATACGTCCCAAGCGTGCTCCGATTAAGCAGGATAATAATTCCAAACGAGGAATGGATATACTCTTTAAAGGCTTAACTCTAGTGCGTGCTTGCACAAAATTTAAATAAACCTTATTTTCGGTCTTCACTCTTAAGAAAATACAGGTAGCATAGGCATGCTTGCTGGCATCGCTCGCTGAAAACATGAAGACTTACATCTTCGTTAACCGATCTGTCAATATTAAGCCATCTAGGAATTTTGACATCAGACAGCAGTTTCATTTCCTTTACCCATTGTATGGACTTCTTTTCTAAATGTTCTGGCAATTTTTGATCCCAATTTAATCGTAATTTCCAACACTCTTGCAATATCACCTTTGGGAACAGGGTAACGGGAGAAAGGAAGCCTACTGGGTCAAATAACTTATGCGCGCAAGAAAGGAGTGTTCGTTTACTCGCGACAATCTCCTCTTTCTTTAGTGACTCAATTTTACAGGAAAGAGTATCATCCTTCAAATCCCAGTTTAACCCTAAAACGCAAACGAATGTATCTAATTTAGAGTTGGGAATTATTTCGGTTTCACAATTCGACTGCCATCCTCTAAGATTAAACTTTCCCAGTGACAATAACATTCTCGATTCTAGTACAAATCTATTCAATTCTTCAACATTCTTAAAACTAGTCAGGCAATTATCAACATAGAAGGACTCCTTCAAAATGTTGGCTGTAACTGCAAACTGATCTGGGGCACGATTTAAATGATAGTTCAACGTAGCGGCTAACAAAAATGGACTACAGTTAAGCCCAAAAACCACGCGACAATGTCTGTAAATTTTAGTATTCTCTTCTTCTGCACCTTTCCAAAAGAAACGCAAATAATCTCTATCCTTCTCTCTTATACCAATCTGCAAGAAAGCTTTCTCAATGTCTGAAATTACTGCAAGAGGATATTTCCGAAAACGATTCAACAATGTTGGAATTATTTCTATTAGGTTGGGACCTTTCTCAAGACAATCATTTAAGGAAAGTTCTCCTTTGGCGTGTGCCGAAGCATCAAAAACTGGCCTTACTCGCGTAGTTTCACTAGATTCTTTAAAAAAACCGGCCTATGAGGCAAATAGTGCTCTCTATCTACTTCGCCTTCATTTACCTCTTCAATAATTCGTTCCTTCAACCAAGTATCAAATACTTCCTGATAAACTTTAATTTGATTCGAATCTAATAATTTCCTTCGCGTATTAGTCAGGCGTTTTTCTGCCAACGTTTTATTATTAGACAAGCGAGAGGGGTCCAGTACCCAAGGTAATGCAGTTTCATATCTCCCGTCTGAATCCAAATTCAAATTTTCCTCAAAATATTGCATGGTCTCCTCATGAATTTCAGCTTTCTTTTTAGACTCAACTGGGTCATTTATACCAATAACGTCTAACTTCCACAAGTTTTCTGCTGATCTTTCGTTTAGCAATAAAGAAACACATGCAAGAGAATCATTTATACCCGAAGATTCCTTCGCTGGAATTTTACCCATTAAAATCCATCCCAAACTTGTTTCCATCGCGACCGGACCACTTTGTAAACATTTAATATTTCCGGTGAATAATTTTCCAGCAATATCAGAACCTATCAACAATTTAATGTCACTTTCGTTTTCGAGAGCATTACCCTCTACATCTGACACTTGAATATTTAATTTACGAAGTTCTTTCAACCAAGGACCTTTAGGTATTTTCTTAACATCAGAACAGATAACAGATTCACTTAAACAATGCACACTACATACATATTTATTATCAAGGCTACTCAAATTAACTATATATTTAGAATGCAATTTTTCTTTTGTTTCTACACCTCCGAATAATTTATGAACTAATTTCACTTCACCAACACTGTTACATTTCAAAGAATCTGTAATATCTTTCGTTAAATAACTTCTCTCGCAACCCGTATCTATAATCCCTCTGACTATCCTTTCCCTGTTGCCATTTTTTACCCTTACGATTAATGTTTGTAGTAACACATCGGAGCTCGCGGATCTGCTAGCCAAAACATTGACCTCATTTTTCGCCACAGGCTCTACTTGTTTAGTCTCTTTCAATTGAGAAGGAACTTGTTGACACATTACTGCCAAATGCCTTTTCTGGCAAATTAAACACTTAACCTTGGACTTACAGTTACGAGAAATATGGTTTTTCTTCAAGCATAATAGACATAAACCCTTCTTAAATATTAAATCTTTTTTATCCTGATATGTAAGCGTACTAGCTTTAAAACATTTTTCTGTTAAATGTGGCTTATCACAAAATAAACACGATTCCTCAACTTTCTTAATAGGAGCATTTTCTTTAAATTTGTCTCCTGTATACAAATCATTACAAGTAGGAATATTAGACTCATCATTAATGTAACTTTTAGATTTTCTACTTTTATCAAAAGAAAAACGCGCTAATTTAATTCTCTCTTCAGATATCACTTCATTTTTCAAAAACAGAAGAATAGATTCAAGATCGCTCTTACCTTGTTGTGACGAGCTCTCCCGTTCCCTCTCCCACACGCGTAAGATGTCAGGGGGCAGGCAAGATTCAACTAACGGAAAAATAACACTAGCGTATTTATCTTCAGTCACACCGAGAGATTCCAGAGCACGCAGTTTTGTTTCTAAACTGTCGTACAACGATGATAGCGCAAAGTCCTTTTTGGTTGCATTATTATTTATCAACACAAGATTCAATAAATCCCGAACGTACACTTGTATAAGAATATCTTCACGTCCAAAACGATTCTTTAAATGTTCGATGACTTTCGGATAATTTTCTTTAGTTGTCGGGAAACTCTGCACTATTTCCCGTGCTTTCGATTTGGCAGCAGTAGCCTGGATCAGATATACGAATTTCAAATGATCATCTAGCACTGGATCTTCGTGTATCTTACTAAAGGTATTCCAGAAATTCAACCATTGTCGTGGATCACCTGTAAATTCAATCAAATTTATTTTCGGAAGCTTCAAATTCGTTGCCGTTGTTCTTGAATCAACAGTTCTGGTTTCATTTACCGATGCATGAGTCAGCAAATTTTTCTCTAGTTTCACAGTGATTTGCTTCACTTTCATCCTGGCTGCTATTAATTTCTCCTTGTAAGTCTCACATGACTCAAATTCTTTAGTATATTCTTCTTGCGAGACTTCTTTCGATTTTGATAGGAGATCCAATATTTCTTCATCCAACTGTTGTAGTCGAATTCCTTTATCTTCCAGGATTTCCAGGGACGATAATAGAACATCACTGTTCAATTCTGACTCATTCAAATGTCCATGTAGGCTATTATATGCTTTCGTGAAGGCTGCACGCAGTGGTATTCTTCTTACTTTCAAGGCTTCCATTTCTGCTGTTAAACCATCAAAAGTGTCCTTTACCCAACTAATGCGTCCTGTTAGACGGACGCCACTTTTTATTGTGGTGATCCACGGTTTGAAAATGGTTTCTGAATCAGAAGAGATTCGTGCACTAACCTAGTGCTTCGCATTAGAGAGTAAAGAACATCTATGATATAAAAATATACTTTTATTTACACAGCGAAAACGCGCAGCAACATTATTAACGAAAGCTCATTCTCCTAATAACATACTTCTTTTTACACTCCACTTGCGCATGCGCATTGGCAATTACCAAAGGAGCTTGGCAGATACTGCCATCTGTTGGATAAACTATTCGCTACAGGCTCTGGGCCCAAATTGAATTGTTTTTATCTATCATTTTTGAGAGCATTATGAGTTTTGATTAAGAAACTCGGCAATTTTGAAATGAGCAATGGCAACACTGTAAGGGGGGAAAACATTTTTATCTCCAGCGCGTAAGACTGTGTATCAGAAATTCTAAAGATACGCTGTTTTAAATATTTTGTGATATTGCTGTTGAATTGAATTTTACGGTTTAAGTGCGAAAAACATGATAATTAATAAATAAAAGTAACACACAAAACATTAAAAAAGGCCCCCTTTGGGCATAAATTTAGGCTGAGTAAAGTCAGTAATAAGTAAAATGCCCCTTTGGGCATTTGTGAAATTTTGTGGTGGACTTAATGAAGGGATGAGAATTTCTTTCAGGGAAAAAAAAAAAAAAAAAAAAAAAATCCAAATATCGCCACCAGAGGTCATTTAATATATTATACATTTAGACACACCTTTAAAATAGTTTCACAATTTTACAAATTTTGTTGCAAGAAAACATGTTCCACATAAAGGTTGTTCTTTTCCAACTGCCATCTGAAATCGCAAAATGGCATGTTCCACAGTTGGCTGAAGTGTATTCTGAGAAATGTTCAGCACATGACGTGAAATGCTGGCTTTAAGATCAGGTAAAGTTCTTGGACTTTCATGACTTACCAGATGTTGTAAGTGACCCCAAAGCCAAAAATCACATTGGACTAAAGTCTGTGGATCGGGGTGGCCACATATTATGAAAGTACCAGCTAATGACACGTTGTTCTGTAAAATGACATTTAAGAACATTCATAACACACTGTGCAATGTGTGGAGGAGCTCGTGCAAGGCACAACATGCTTACAGAGACAGGACAATTTCATTCTCTTGCAGTGATGCATATCCTTGCCCAGTGATCGAGCATGTAACTGAACCTGTGGAATTAAACTCCTCGAAGAAGTACAGGATAAATGATGCAGAAAATTCATAACTTACCATCACCTTTGGTGAATGCAGTGGAACCTCTAAGACATTGTGTGGATTTTCTGATTCCCTAATTCTACAGTTGTGAGTACTCTCTGCACTGTCCGAATGAAAATGTGTTTCATCTGTTTGGAGGATATTCCACAGCCATTCTGAATTGACCTCAAAGCGATCAAGAAACTGAAGTGAGAACTGGAGTCGAGCATCAAAATCATGTAGAACCAGCTGCTGCACTAGTGAAAGTTTGTAAGAGTAATATCGGAGGATATTCTGCAAGCTCTTATGGACATTTAAACGTAGTCTATCCAGTGCCTCTTCTATATGCCGGACACTGGTGCTAATGTGAAAGTTTGAAGCTGTGTTCTCTAGGACCTGATATGCAACTTCCTGTACTGCATCTGCAGAAAAAGGTTTACCTCTTCCAGGATGAACAGAAAAGGATCCTGTTTCTTCAAATTTTGTTACCATTTTCCAAATGTTTTTAACATTCATTGGCTCTTTTAGAATCCCCTTCAAAGTCTGAAATTTCCATAGAGCAATACTGTGGAATTATTGTTTTGATAAAACAATTTTACCAACAAAAAGCGGTCTCTTAAACTTATCATCATTGTGAACAACAGCACATTGAAAAAAGTCTCTGCGAATGTTTCTAGGTTTTATAACAGCTGCTGCATGACATCGATAAAGATTTGCATTTTTACTGCAGGTTTTCAAAGTAAACTGCCATCTGGTGACGCTATTTGTAACTTTTTTTTTTTTAAATCTGAAAGGAATTCTCATTCCTTCTTGAAATCCACCTCAAAATTTCACAATTTCCTTATCACTAGTTTCGTGTGATGTGGAACTGTAGAAGCTTTGAAATAGAGTTCTTTAATCATGGGCACCCTGTATATAGATATACATATCGATCTCTCTCTCTCTATATATATATGTATATATGAAAAATGATGCCAGAAATGAAGTTTATAACTGTACATAAAGTAACCTAATGCTAAAGAATGTGATCAAAGATAAATTAGTGAAATTATATTATTCAAGTGAAGGCATTACTGTAATTGATACTGCAACTGATTTACTACATTTTTTGTCTCTGTATTCAATCACTGCATATTTCTTTATTTACTAGTATTCAAATGTTGTGAGTAGAGCTTTAAAGCCTTTTATTTTAAATTTCCTACATGGTATTTTAGATTAATCAATTCAGTATTTAATTATTGTGCCTTTAGTTATATAAAAAAGTATATGGCTCATTTTTGTTATAATTTGTGACTAATTTTGCTTAATATATGTGAGCTGATTCACTCTACATAGTATAATTTCTCACTATTTTTAGAAAAAATTTTTCTTAACATTATTTATAATATATGTATGTATATGTTGTTCTAAATGAAGTTTTAGAAGAAAATATGTAAAATTTGATTTATAGCTATATTACATCTGTTATTAAGAGGTAAAACTCATTTTCTGCATCAAAATTTGCTAACTTATATTTATCATAAAGATTCTGATATAAGATATTTGAACTTTTGAATTATTAACTATCAAATTATTAACTATTTTAATATTTGTTAAGATAATGTCATATATTTGAATATTTGTAAAGATTAGACAAAAAATTATGATAATTAAGCAATTTTAAAGAAGTCTCAATCACCTGTCATACTGGGGAGGAAAAATGAAAAATAGCCAATTTGTAGAGTGTTACAACTATTACAATCAGCAAATTAGTACTATAGTCATTTTAGACAATTACAAGGAGTATCTATTTTTTGTTATTACATTATGTATTTCTTTTACAGGGCAGATGATACAAGTAAATCTTCTGGTTGTAGAATCTGTCACATTCCTTATTCTGAGTCTAGCATTCCCTTTCCTACTAATTTAGTTCGTTGCAATGTGTGCAGGTATATGCAATTTTGAACTATATGCATTTTATGATTTACATTGCCTTTTTAAAGAAAGACATATATATAATATTACATAAATGTTTTTATAATAAAAATATCCCGATTGTTATTTCATATGAAAGGAAAGTGTCTTTGTATAGGAGGCATTCAAAATTTTTGGATGAACTGTAATAACTAAATAATTTAAAATGGTTCATTCATCAGCTAATTTTGGATGACAGAAACACAACAGTTTTCCTAGGAAGTAGAGTTCATTTGAGATCTAATCTACCTCCTCTTGATTAATGTTGAATTATATTTTGATTGTATTTTTCCTTTTCTGTTTTTTTTTTTTTTTTTTTTTTTTTTTTTTTTTTTTTTTTTTTGTATTTCTATTGCTTTTGGGATTTCTTCTGGTTTAAAAGACTGCAAGGGGTTTTTTACATTTTCTATTGAAAGATTTTAAGAATGTGCTGGTTTTAAATTTCATTTCTTTCATGTATTTATGGTATTAGTTCGAAATTTATTACTTTTTGTCTGTAAATGTCTCAGTACAATATTTCAGAACTTCTAGGAGGATTAGAATACACCCCAATGACTCATAATCATACAGCAATGCAGGGTCTGAAATGCTTTTCTGACATAGTAGATGGTGTTGCAGAAAAGTTCTGAGAGTTCTTGCAGGGAATCGTCATTTCGCACAGGATGCAGAGTAATTAAATTGACACAAGAGTTAGCCAATATGCATTTAGTATATGGGGTTGCAGATTGTAGTGAGCGAGGCGCACGGCACTTGTATGAGGAACAGTATCCTATGATGCATACACCCAGCCATAATTTCTTTGCAAGGCTGCACCGGAGGTTAGCTGAAACAGGTTCCTTTCAAAAAGCTGCCGAATCAGGCACAATCAGCATGGACTCTGGACATCAAAGAGAATGACATCAGGTACAGGGGACTCCAAATTTGAGTACACAATGTAGTTGTGTATAGTGCATGCAGTTGTGGTTTCCCGTTCCAGAATCTGAAGGATTCTCAGAGAAAATGAAATGCATCTATATGGCGTGTGGCATATCCAGGCACTTCAGCTGGGCGATTATGCACCTCATATTACTTTTGCACAATGGTATCTTGAAAAGTGTAATACAGATCCCTGTTTCTGTGCTAATGTGTTGTTCACTGATGAGGAATCCTTCACAAGGGAAGGAATACTCAACTCACATAATACCCATCTGTAGGTAGTAGAGAACCCTCATGCAACACGATGTTGTGCAGCACAAAATCATTTTTCAGTTATTGTTTGGGCTGGCATTATGGGAAATCACCTCATCGAAGCTTACCTGTTGTTGTTTCATCTAACTGGTAGTAACTACTTGATCTTCCTGCAACATGACATGCCATAACTATTTAATGATGAAATGATTTCTGCATCGTCAGACATGCCATAACTCTATAATTGTAGATTTCTGCATTGATGCAATAGACAATGTTGTTCCAAAATGATGTGGCCCCTTCCCATCTCACCCATAAGGTTAGTATTCACCTAGACATCAAATTTGGCTAACAGTGGATCAGAAGTGGTGGTCCAGTGCATTGGCCTGTTCTAGACCTATCATGTCTTGATTTCTTTTATGGGGTCATATGAAGACACTGGTTTATGACAACCCAATTGGCAATGCTGGCTGCATGAATCACAGTAGCTGCCAGAGAAATTCAAGATATGCCTGGAATATTCCAGAATCCCATGCACCCATGTATCATAGATGTGAGGTGTGCACTGAGGTCAGTGGATAAAACTTCAAACAATATCTTTGACTCATGCTGCTTTCATTCATCTAAACTTATTATTATAACAAATATTAACTTACCTGCCATTTTTCAATTTCTGATGTTTCTGTTTACACCAACACGTCAGAAAAGCATTTCTGAGCCTGCATTGCTATATGATTCCCAATCACCAGGGTGCTCCTTCCTCCTGTTAGAAGTTCTGAAACACAGTACTGAGACACATTATATATATATAGTATTTAACAAGCAGTCACTATTATAATAGTGACTGTTTGTTAAAATGTGGGAAATGGAATTGGAATTGTTTGTTACTTATAAAGTTGTATTGAAAGAACTGTGCAATGAAGGAAATCAGATATTTACATAGTACAAAGAAATTATGTTTCTCTTTAAATGTCAAACTGAAAAGTGTATCTATGTATTTCAATCAATAAAAATCTGTAACTGGAACATAAAAATCAAAGTGAAAAAGTGCAGTGCATAAAAAAGTAAATAAATGTAAATTCCAATTATTTATACTAATTATTTTACAGATCAACTTAAAGCATACACAATCTAAAAACAGTCCTGTAAAACTGTAGTTAATAATATATGCATAATATGAAAACTGAATTCTTTGAGAGAGGTTTTAATTTAGCAACATAGAACATGCTATTAAAAATAAGAAACAATTTCAAAATTTGCATTAAAAAAAAAAAAAAAAAAAAAAAAAAAAAAAAAAACTTTCAGAACTTTCATGTTGACTTTTTTCGGACAATGTGCAAACACACAGAAATAATGTCAGTAAATTTGCACTTAATTTATTTACCCTTATACAGTCTAAGAATTTGTCTACAAATTCCAACATTTCATCTTGGCTATCCTTAAAATTTCCATTTAATGTTCATTTTCCTCTTTATGCTCTTCTGAGGGGTTCTCTTCATTCAGTTTTAACTTTAGAATAACCTGATTAGACCAAAATCCTATTGCCTTCATTATTGGCAACCACAATTCAGCATACTTTCAAAATTTTAAACATAAAAAATGTTTCAAAAGGTTCATTGATGTTATCTTTTCATTAGCAAAACTTTTGTATTTCACAATATTAGGAATTAGTTTTTTCCCAGTAGGCTGGGAATGAGCATTAATAATTTCACGTCAAGGTCTTGCAGTAGTATCTGTTTCATTAAAAATTGTGAGCTTTATAATTTTTTTTTTTTTTAAGTAAGAAATCCTTGGTTGTAAACATTTGCACAATTCTAACGGAGCCAAAATTTGTGCTTCAGACTACTTATATCATTAGTATATATATCCATACTTTCCAACACTTATTTAATTTGAATATTCTTCCTCCATCATTCTTACTCTTTTTTCTGTTCCTTTTTCTAAATTTTATTAAATTTTAAAATTCTTTTTATGCTAATTGATTATTTTGTTGCTTGATGCATTATTATAGAATATGATGTTTACAGTGGTTATAAGTAATACAGTACAAAGTCCATAATCAGGACATCCATTATCCGGAATGATCTATAATCTGGATCTCAAAGCCACAAACTTTTTTTTTTTTTTGGTATGCTTTACGCATGCGCGTTTAATGTATAACGGACGGTATAAGCTAGGCTAAAATTATTGTTACTGATTCTAAGGCATTTCAATTAATGTTGCAGATTGCTCTGTTCCTTAATGTTCTAATTGGATCCAGCTTATTATTTTTTGAAGACTGTTAGAGCAATTTTATAAAAAATTAAGCTTGAACTTTCAATTATGTCAAAAAGAGTTTCCAATTCTGGAACTGCCAAAGGATCTACAAAGCAAAAGCATGTTTCAATGTCCATCAAACAAAAAATGGAATTGCTGCAAAAAATGGATAAAGGCGTATCTGCCTCAAAATTATGCGAGGAGTATGATGTTGGAAAGTCAACTGTACAGTCAAAAGTCTTTAATCCGGACTCGTCGTGACTTTGCCGATTCCGGATTATAAATCATCAGTTTAAATCTGGTAAGATTGCAAGCAGAAATTATAAAATTAAAAATATGAAACCGTAATTTATGAAATAAAGAGCAATATGATCTAAAGGGTATCAAAATTTACAAAAAAAAAAGCTTAATATTTATTTGTTTACTTTATTAAACATTTCTTTCAACGCGCGCATGCGTTAAGCATACATTACGCATAGTCGAAATTGGAAAATTGCAACCAGAAAACTATATGATGTGTATTCGTGATATTTATAATGACGAGGAATTTGATTTAAATCATATCAAAGACAGAGTACATCGAGATGAAATACTACATTTAGTAAGGAATTATAAGCCGAATAAAATAAAAACATCTGCCCTGAAGGTAAGGATAGTGCTGAAAGATCAACTTCCAGTTCATTGTGTGCTGCGACTCCCCCCTCCTACCCCGCAGAGCAGTGTGAAATTGATAAACAGATTTCGGAATGGTTAGAGAAACAAAGGATATGCCTTTATCCATTTTTTGCAGCAATTCCACTTTTTGTTTGATAGGCATCGAAACATGCTTTTGCTTTGTAGATCCTTTGGTAGCTCCAGAATCGGAAATTCTTTTTGACATAATCGAAAGCTCAAGCTTACTTTTATAAAACTGTTCTAACAGTCTGAAAAAATAATAAGCCGGATTCAATTAGAAGATTAAGTAACAATGCAATCTGCAACATTAACTGAAGTAGATAATTTTTAGCTTATACTGTCTGTTACACATTAAACGCACATGCGTAAATGTATTGTGCACATGCGTAAACGCATATGCACATGAGTAAAGGTATTATGCACATGTGTTAACGCATTATGCATTTACGCATGCGCAAAAAGTTTGAGGTGCAGATTATAGATCATTCTGGATTATGGACGTCTGGATTAAAGACTTTTGACTGTATACGATATAAGCAAAAAGAAAAAGGAACTTTTTGAATTTTTTGTGGATTCCGACACCCCACTTACAATAAATAACAGAAAAAGGTTCCTTATACTAAAAGTGACGATCATGACAAAGGGATGATTGAATAGGTCAGACAGCGTCACAGCGAGGTCGTGCCATTGACAGGTCCTATGCTGATGGCTCAAGCCAAAATATTTTATGAAGAAATGAACTTAAACACTGAGTGCACATATTCGACAGGTTGGTTAACCAAATTTAAAAATCACCATGGTATAAGACAATTAAAAATTTCAGGTGAAAAAGATTCAGCTGATACTGAAGCTGCTGAACAATTTGCAGATGAATTCA